TTAGAAGGTCTAATAAACAACTCGGATTCGGTCTGGAGAGGAGGAATTTTAGCATGAGTGACTCCATTTTGGTTTGGTGTGTAGAGGCCTAATACAGAGGCTTAGTGCAAAACAGTGGCTTCCTATACATTTTATTAACATGTCCTTCCTGAAAATATACTAAATCTATTGCTGTTTCATAGCTTCATATGATTTTGATGGAATTTGATTGTGAAACTAAGATATCAGCATCTCACTGACATGTTTTCAAAAAGCTAATAGAAAGGATTTTGAATTTTTACAACACAAAGAAATGATTGATATATCAGTTACCCTGATTCGAACATTACATGTTATGTACACATACTGAAATATCATTGTGTTTCATAAATATATACAATTATTGGCCAGGTGCAGTGGCTCACGCCTATAAGCCCAACACTTTGGGAGGCCGAGGTGGGAGGATCATTTGAGGTCAGGAGTTTGAGATCAGCCTTGCCAACATGGTGAAACCCCATCTCTACTAAAAATACAAAAAATAGCTGGGTGTGGTGGCAGGCACCTGTAGTCGTTCCCACTTGGGAGTTTGAGGCAGAATTGCTTGAACCTGGGAGGCGGAAATTGCAATGAGCAAAGATCATGCCACTGCATTCCAGCCTGGGCAACAAGGTGAGACTGTCTCAAAAAAAAAAAAAAAAAGATAACACAATGAAACCCCGTCTCTACTGAAAATACCAAAAATTAGCCAGGCATGGTGGCATGCACCTGTAGTCCCAACTATTCGGAAGGCCGAGGCGGGAGAATCACTTGAACCCAGGAGGTGGAGGTTGCAGTAAGCCGAGATTGCACCACTGCACTCCAGCCTGGGTGACAGATCAAGACTTCATCTCAAAAAAAGGAAAAAGTAAAAATACAATTATTTTGTGTCAACTACAAATAAAAGTTTCAAAAAATTTTTAAAAAGACTTTCACTGCTGGGTGTGGTGGCTCACGCCTATAACCCCAAGCACTTTGGGAGGCTGAGGTGGTGGATCATGAGGTCAGGAGTTCAAGACCAGCCTGACCACTATGGTGAAACCCTGTCTCTACTAAAAATACAAAAATTAGCTGGGTGTGGTGGTGTGCATTGGTAACTCCAGCTGGTTGGGAGGTTGAGGCGGAAGAATTGCTTGAACCTGAGAGGCGGAGGTTACAGTGAGCTGAGATTGTACCACTATACTCCAGCCTAGGCAACAGAGCGAGACACCATCTCAAGAAGGAAAGAAAAAAGGCCAGGCACAGTAGCTCACAGTTGTAATCCCAACACTTTGGGAGGCTGAGGCAGGCGGATCACGAGGTCAAGAGATCAAGACCAGCCTGGCCAACATGGTGAAACTCTGTCTCCACTTAAAATATAAAAATTAGCTGGGCATGGTGGTGCTTGCCTGTAGTCTCAGCTATTCAGGAGGCTGAGACAGAAGAATTGCTTGAACCCAGGAGGTGAAGGTTGCAGTGAGCCAAGATCATGCCACTGCACTCCAGCCTGGCAACAGACAGAGCAAGACTCTGTCTCAAAAAAAAAAAGACTTTCACTGATGTGCTCCTATCAAGTATTACCTTTAAGAATGAAACAGTTGGTAACCTCCTTCAAAAGAACATGCCAATTTTTAACACCTTTTAATTTTTATTTGCTTATGAAAAGTTTTTCAAATGTGAAGATTGTTTTTAAAAAGAAAAGTTATATCTGAGCTGCTGGCCCCATTGTAGATTTGGTTATGAAAATAATTTAATTGCAGAGTTTGAAAACCAGGATTACTGCTATCCTAGTGGTATTAAAAATTGGAAAATTGGTCTATCTGATTGTTATTTGCTGTGTATCCTTGTTAAGGCTTTAAAGATAGAAAAAATCAGAACAGGAACCCATGATTCTTTATATCATGCTTTACTGAAAAAAAAACAAAACTTTTCAGATGTTGTCAAGATTGTGGATGAGTCTGGATATTGTTCTCTGCACCTGATGATTTGACCATCACAGGTCCTTGGAATGAGGGCGATGAGATATGTGTGCATAGGTAATGAAACTATACATATATATGTGTTATGCATATGTTTGTGTCTTAAAAATGAAACTGTTGCTCTCCCAGTTTTACACAGCTCCTAAAGAGTTCCCCACCCCAAGATCTGACTCAGAACTGGTATTTTTTTGTTTGGTTTAACCAAAGGTTTTTTGATTACTATGTGCCAAACACTGTGGTAGGCACTGTAGATATGAAGATGAATAAGGCATGGCTGTCAACATGAAGGAGGTTATAGTGTAAAAGAAGATATAATTTTGATATAGTGATAAGTATTCTATAGAGCTGGTACTCCTTCCTGTATCAATGTTAAGGGAACACCTTTAGCTTAGTACAAGTGTTTAAGAAAGCTTCAGAGACAAACCCCACTCAAGAGATGAATGAGTAAAGTAACTTATAAAAGAGGCATATTCTCCTTCTCTCTGAGGCCTCCACTGAAGTGACATACTTTATGTAATTCCAAGTTGTGATCATTAGTGTTTACATGTATTTAGGGATGGCAATGTATAGTAGAAAATGTAGTTTGATTATTTTCTAAAGATATGTTGAGTGAAGTCTTCCCCACCAACCTCACACTACTATAGGAATAGTGGGTAAAATGTCCATGGTACCAGGTCACTTCTGTTTTCTGCAGGCCCCCTGGAAAGAAGTTTACCAGGGTATCTCTGAAGAGCTTCTTAGACCCGGTCCCTTTAAAAAAACCCAAGTGTCACCATGGAGAGGCCCTTGGAAAATTTTAAACTGCCTCTGTAAACTTGGGAGGATAACACTTTTTATTTTTTTTAAAGTACTTGCAGAGCAGGGCTACCCCACAGGCAGCATGCCCAGAGTAGCTGAAGATAACTCTTGACTGCTTTCTCTCTGGGCAAATCCCCACTGCTACCCTGACCTCTGGTCTGCTGATGCTTTGCCATTTTGTTAACACTGTTGGTCAATCACGTGTTCATCTGTTCCTCTGTATCCTGACTGAGATGTACTCTCAACTTTCCCTGTCCTGCTTGCCTGGTCCTTGACTGGTTTGGACCTGCCAAGGCCTCAGATTTCAGTCTCTGACCTGCTGACCTGGGCAGTTCGTGTCCAACCTTCTGGGTGACAGACATAGCTAGTCTTTCCACTGACACCACCCTAACTTTGCAGCCTCTACCTTGCAGCTAGTCCTAGGCCAGAGCATTGGATTGCTTGGTGATGGTGACTCTTTCAGTTTTCTGTAACACACATGTATAGGTGGGGCACACCAGCATCTAATGAGGAGGGGAAAAGCCAAGGCGAGAAAGAAAAGAAGGGACACCTTCTAGGGAAGTTCTGGAAGGTGGTGAGGAGAATCTTGTATGTTTAAACACAGCCCTCAAATTCAGTCCTTCAGTAACTGTTTGAGTGTCTTCAGTGTGTCAGACGTTGTGGTGGGTAATAGGGGCATAAGATGAATAAGGAAGCTATTTGGGATTGCAAAAAACTATTGATTCAGAATGAAGCATTTTTACAGAATGTTTTTATCCCTCTGTTATACTTGTCACATAATTTTATGCTAGGTAAGGAAGTTTTCATGAACTAATCTCTCTTGGTATTATCCTAAGTGAGCTTCTAAGGCTATCATATCCAAAATATTGTCTATAGGTTGATTGAGTTCTAGTTACTGACATGTGAATTTAGACAATGACTAGGTCTAAATAAAGTCTTATGTTTATCAACTGTATCAAAACAGAAGGAATGATTTTCTATACTTGGCAAATACTCTCATATTCTAGAAATGAGACTGTCAGGAAAACTCCACAGAAGTGATATACTTTATGTAATTCCAGTTTGTAATCTTTAGTGTTTATATGTATTTAGGGATGGCAATATATAGTAGAAAATGTAGTTTGATTATTTTCTAAAGGTGTCTTGAATAAAGTCCTTCCTTCCCCATCACCCTCACCACTGTTATAGGTAAAAATGATGAAGTTTACCAAACATTGGTTTCAGTTTGTTAAGAGACTGTTGATGTTTTGGGAGTCTTTACCCTCAGTGTGACCTGTCATTAGGAAACATTCATCACAGGTGGATATCAAAGTGAAAATCTTCCAAGGGCCAAGCAGGTGAATGTGTTGGGGTGATGATAGGTGATGAATACAAGAGTGAGGGCATTTACAATAGTATTATATCACATATTATTTTAAAACCACAATGACGATAGTGCTGTGCTGGCCAAATGAGAAGATGGCAGAATTTACCAATAGCATTCAGCTTCTGGATGTTATCCTGGATACCAGGCTACTTTCTTGGGGAAATTGATTGGGAGAACTGATATATTCACATACAAAAAAAAGCCAACAGAAATGGTGCTATTAACAATGATCACCAAAATGTAGTCAGTACTTACTGTGTGAAATTCTCCTCTTATCCTTTTCTTTAGAATTAGACAAGGCAATGACGCATTCAACAGTTATTCTAAAAAAATAAAATAAGGATGTGTTATATGGGTCATTCATTTACGGATTGATGAGCATTGATTTGGACGTGTCTTGAGGGACAAAAGCAGGAACAAAGAACAGTCTGTTAATTTCTTGTATTACCTGAAGAAAAAGTTTGAGTTAACCACATAAAATCTTCATTCCATATTTTTAGTCTCCAAGATAGTGTCTGGGCAGCAAGTCAAAGCAATGCTCTGCAAACATTGTGAGTAGCTAGAACAACTCTGATTTCTTACTAAGTGTGTACAACATATGATATACTTCTGGGGAAATCTCACTAGAGCTTATTTAAAACATAATTGTTTGATGATACGGAATTCAACTCAGAATCAGATATGAATCCAATCAGAATCAGGTATGGTGAAGGATAAATAAATGGAAAAACTCATCGTAGCAGCAAGAAGAAATTGGCAAAATCAACTCCTCTAAAGGACAAAATTGTTTCTTGATTATAGAGATTTTGTTACTATCAAGTATTATTTCTCTTATCTGTTATCTTTTCATAATTCTGTTTCAGGGTCTGATGGCTATTGATTGTCCACATACTGGCATTGTGGACTATCGGCAGGTGGCTTTATCATTTGCCCAAGATTTCCAGAAAGCAGGTGGCTCTGTCTTGACCAATTTTGAAGTAAAAGATATTGAAATGGCTAAAGAAGGGCCTTCAGGAAGTATAGATGGTAAGCCATCCTTGTCTTTTCTATTGAATATAGTCAGCCCTCCATATCCATGAGTTCTGCATCTCTGGTTTTAATCAACCATGGATGAAAAATATTTGGGGAAAAAAAATAACAGTAGAACAATATATAATACAAATAAAAAAGTATAACAAAAAATATACCATTTACATTGCATTAGGTATTATAAGTAATCTAGAGATTATCTAAACTGTCCGGAGTATGTGCACAGGTTATATGCAAATGCTATGTGCCATTTTATATAAGGGACTTGAGTATCCTTGAATTTTGGTATTTGTGGGGTTCCTGGAACCTGTCCTCCTTGGATACTAAAGAACAGCTGTACTTATATTGATTTTTTTAAAAAATTGGGATATTTTGAGGGGTAGTGCTGGTGAGAGGACCACTAGGAGGTAGGCTAGAGTAGGGTGCAGAACCAGAGGTAGGTGTAGAAGGGACAAGGATGAGACTGAATGTGAGAGAACTGTGATTCCTGGAGGGTCTTGTGCTGGTAGAACCAGGCCCTGGTCCAACACTTCTGACTGGTGCTAAAATCTGAACTGCCAAGGCTGTTTATGGAAAATTAGTCTCCAGACACTTCCCTGCTGTCTAGGTTAGAGTCAGAATCTCTTGGCAATGTTTGTTAAAAATGCACTTTTTTTTTTTTTTTTTGAGGCAGGGTCTTACTCTGTCATCTAGGCTGGAGTGTAGTGCAGTCCCAGCTCACTGTAACCTTCACCTCCCAGGCTCAAGTGATCCTCCCACCTCAGCCTCCAGAGTAACTGAAACTACAGGTGCTTGCTACCACATCCAGCTAATTTTTCTATTTTTCTTCCTTTTAATTTTAATTTTTATGCAGACGAGGTCTCACTATGTTGCCCAGGCTGATATAGAACTCCCAAGCTTAAGTGATTCCCCCTCCTCAGCCTCCCAAAGTGCTAGGATTACAGGTGTAAGCCACCATACCTGGCCCAGTTTTTGTATTTTTTATAGAGATGGTGTTTCACTGTGTTGCCCAGGCTGCTCTTGAATGCCTGGACTCAAGTGATCTGCCCACTCGACCTCCCAAAGTGCTAGGATTATGGGCATGAGCCACTGTGTCTGGCCAGTAGCTAACATTTTTTTAAGTACTTGATACTTTCCAAGTATTAACTCATTTGACTCTTACAATTCTCTGCGGCAGGGTACCATTTTTACTCACATTTTTTAGGGTGAGAAAACTGAGGCACAGAGAGAGTAAGAAACTTGGCTGTGGTTGTACAAGTAGTAAGTGGTGAAGTTTGGATTTGAACTCAGACTATCTATACCTAAAGCCAACATGGTTAATTACTGAACTATACTGGACCCACACCATGTTCCCCACAAGCTGAATAACGAGCAAGGATTTCAAATTAACAAGATGCCGGTGGAAAGCTTCATTGGTTTAATGAAGACAGAAGGGTTTGAGAAATTGGGTGGTTAGAATGAAGGAAAAAGACTGGCTCTGAAGCACAACAGGAAGGCGGAAGCTAAGAGGCTGGACTAGGAAAGTAGGACACCAAAGTAATTGCAGAGGGGAGGTCTAGGAAAGTGTTGCTTAATCCTGACACTACTGATACTGGGGGCAGATTATTCTTTGTTGTAGGGGGCTATCCAGTGCACTGCAGGATGTTTTGCAGTAACCCTGGCTTCTGTCCACTAGATGCCAGTATCATCATGCCCCCAAGTAATGACAATAATGTCTCTAAATGTTGGCAAATGTTCCCTGAGATTTTGGGGTGAAGGAATCACTCCTGGTTGAGAACCATTGCTCTAGACTTACAGTTATACTAGTTTTAACAACCAGGAGTAGAAATAAACCAGTAGACTAAAGGACAAAGAACCATGAATTGAAGAATTTTGAAAGTTCCTATAAAATCAGAATTTTGTAACTATGAATGATAATTTATTTGTATTTTTGTGATGGAGTTTCATCTTGTCGCCCAGGCTGGAACGCCATGGCATGATCTTGGCTCACTGCAACCTCTGCCTCCTGGGTTCAAGTAATTAACCTGCCTCAGCCTCCCAAAGCGTTGGGATTATAGGTGTGAGCCACTGTACCCAATCTGAATGATAATTTATTATGCTCTTGGAAAGGGAAAGGAGAGAAAAAAATTTCATATGACATCTCCTTTTTGGTTTATTCATCTATATAAACATGTAAATTAGTCTTCCACTGTGCTGGACGTTATCACTCCTGGGGAACACATGCTATTCTGAAGGATTGTTTTTTCCTTTCTGTCTCCATTAGAAGTCTGGACAGCAAATCAAATGGTAAAATTAAAATTTACAAAAGTACTTTGAGAGGCCAAGGAGGGAAGATCACTTGAGGACAGTATAAGACCAGCCTGGGCAACATAATGAGACCCTGTCTCTACAAAAAATTAAAAAAATTAGCTGGGTGTGGTAAGCACACACCTTGTAGTCCCAGCTACTTAGGAGGCTGAGGCAGGAGGATCGCTTGAGCAGAGGAATTTGAGGCTGCAGTGAGCTATAATTGCACCACTGCCCTCCAGCCTGGGCAACAGAGTGAGATCCTGTCTCAAAAAAAATTTTTTTTAGGGCTGGGCACAGTGGTAAACAGTAATCCCAGCACTTTGGGAGGCTGAGGTAGGTGGATTGCTTGAGCTCGAGTTCAAGACCAGCCTGGGCAACATGATAAAACCCCATCTTTACTAAACTTTTTTTTTTTTTCATTTAAAATGTAAATAAAGTAATTTTTTTTGACTTGCAAAATCCTATGGGACTCAAATGTCTAGCTTACTGGTATAACTATTTAGGTTCTATATCTCTAAATGGCAAACATAGTCAGTAGGAAAATTGGTAAGCCTGATGTCTATGTGAAGCCCAAACAGGACTGAACTGATCCTTTTTATTAATAGCTATAAATATGTCTGTGTAAAGCAGTGACCTGGGAGGTTTGGTGGCTCATGTCTGTAATCCCATGCTTTGGGAGGCTGAGGCTGGCGGATTACCTGAGGTCAGGAGTTCCAGACCAGACTTGCCAACATGGTGAAGTCTTGTCTTTACTAAAAATACAAAAATTATCTGGGTGTGATAGTGTGTGCCTGTAATCTCAGCCACTCGGGAGGCTGAGGCAGGAGAATTGCTGGAATCCGGTAGGTGGAGACTGCAGTGAGCTGAGATTGCACCACTGTACTGCTCTCCAGCCTGGGCAACAGAATGAGATTCCATCTTTAAAAAAAAGCAGTGACCCATATGGCTCAATCTTAGAGAAGTGACCACCAAGGAGTAATTTCAAAAAAACTTTTTCTTGTATATTCCTTTTCTTTTTTTCTTTTGAGATGGAGTCTCACTCTGTTGCCCAGACCAGAGTGCAATGGCACGATCTTGGCTTATTCCAACTACTGCCTCTTGAGTTCAATCGATTCTCCTGCATCAGCCTCCTGAGTAGCTGGGATTACAGGCATGCACCATCAAGCCCAGTTAATTTTGTATTTTTAGTAGACAGGGTTTCACAACCCTGGTCTCGAACTCCTGACCTCAAGTAACTCACCCACCTTGGCTCCCCCTTCCCTCCCCTCCCCTTTCCTTTTCCATTTCCTTTTCCTTCACTTCCATTTTTCCCCTTTTTCTTCCCTTCCCTTTTCTTCCCTTCCCTTTTCTTCCTTTCTTTCTTATTATGAAAAGAGATGAGGTCTCACATGTTGCCTATGCTGGTCTTTTTTTTTTTTTTTTACGAAGTCTTGCTCTGTTGCCCAGGCTGGAGTGCATTGGCACAACCTTGGCTCACTGCAACCACCGCCTCCTGGGTTCAAGCAATTCTCCTGCCTCAGCCTCCCAAGTAGCTGAGACTATAGGTGCGTGGCACCATACCCTGCTAATTTTTTGTATTTTTAGCAGAGACCGGATTTCACCGTGTCAGCCAGGGTAGTCTCAATCTCCTGACCTCATGATCCACCCACCTCGGTCTCCCAAAGTGCTAGAATTACATGCATGAGCCACTGCGCCCGCCAGCCCAGCCCGTGCTAGTCTTGAGCCCCCAAGCTCAAGTGACCTGCCCATCTTGGCCTCCCAAAATGCTGGGATTACAAGAATGAGCCACTGTTCCTGGCCCAAAATGCCAATTTTAGTATCACCCAGACTTACTGAGTCAGAATGTCTGGGAATAGCACCTACTAATAAGCCTTTAGTGATTCTTAGACAAACCCAGGTTTCAGAATGTCAGAATGACAGTGTAAGGTCATAAATTGACCTGGCCATTTGGAACTCACCCACTTCACCCCCACAGTTTCAGACTGCACTTAAAGTTTGCTTTGTTTTGCTTTGAGGGCATTATTTATTTTTTTTTTTTGTCCAAATGATAGATTTTTGAGCCTTCTGTTTGCTGTTGAGAAATTTGAAGGAGAAAAAAAGTAATATTCTTTCTACCTTGACAGTTTTTTTTTTTTTTTTTTGAGATGGAGTCTCACACTGGTGCCCAGGCTAGAGTGCAGTGACGCGATCTCAGCTCACTACAACCTCCGCCTCCCAGGATCAAGCGATTCTCCTGCCTCAGCCTCCCAAGTAGCTGGGATTACAGGCACCTACCATCATGCTCGGCCAACTTTTTTGTATTTTTAGTAGAGACACGGTTTCACCATGTTGGCCAGGATGACCTCATGATCCACCAGTCTCAGCCTCCCAAAGTGCTGGGATAACAGGTGTGAGCCACCCCACCCAACCCTTTGACAGGTTTTTAAGGAGATCTAGGCTATCTGAATCATTCTGTCTTTCCAAATTCTAAGATGATGAGCAAAATTGTTAAATAATTAGGATTCCTTTAGGTAGGCAGCATAATAAATTTATGATACAAGTAGATTGTGTTCTTCATCTGCTGTACGTATGCTTTATAAAACTTGGAGAGCCCATGTATCTGAGTGGGAACTAATTTAAAAAATGGTCAGTTTTTTATTGGAAGTTTTTGTGTTACGAGAACTCTTGCTTCTCTAGAAAACATGGAACCTGAAAGGAATCCAGTAAGCAACACTTGGATGACAAGGTTTCTCATATCATAGCTTTAGCTCTGTGGGAAAATACATACTGATTTATCATGATCCATTTTACAGTGTGATTTCCAGGATTATAGTTCAGAGAAAAGCTATGTCTATGTTAGAGGTTAGGTGGAGAATGATTTATACGTTTAGATCGGTTAAAATCAAGCTGAAAACAGCTGGAGTCTTATATATTGTTAAGTATGGATGTATTTAATCATTATTTGGTAAAATGTTTCAGAATGAACTGTAAGGTGCAATCATAGTAATGACAGGAAAAAATTATTTAAATTTGTTACCAGTATAATATTTCAAATCATATTGGCCTAAAAATAAATGTTTTACTTATTCTTTTTTTCAGGAATGAAATATCTGATTGTTATAAAGAATACAAAGGTAAAGATTCTTAAGCAAAACTGCTGGTTACTTTCTTTCCCTCCCCTTTCTTAAAAATTAAATTAATTCACAGTGCTGTATTTTATGTTATTGAATGACATTTGTCTGATATAAAAGTAATGAGAGAATTTATTTTAGGGCCGTTTCACAGCGTTTAAGGAGGGTTTGAACTTGAGAATGTCCTCATAAAGTGGCTGTGCTGGCAAAGAACAAGATTATAAGCATATGGAGTATTTAATTTTAGGGCAAAACTGATAGATATTTTATCACTCTGCCTACTGAGCTCTACTAACTTATTAACTCTATAAATTAGAAGACTTTGTTAGAGTATGCAGGTTGTACAGAGGGAGATGGACTGCTTTCTTTCATCTTCATATAGACCTGAAGCAAGAACCGCAGAATGTCATAGAAGCAGTGGATTCCCTGTAGGTTTGCTGCATTAGGTTGTACGCAAGGGAGCAGAGTCATTAATGACTGCTATAGAATTTATTATAGGAGTTAGACCTTACACAATTGTGGAAGTTTCTGGAGAAGCAGAGAATCAGAAGAAAGTTGACGGATCAGTAATTGGGAAACAGACTTGAACATGGAGCTGGAATTCACTGGACAATGGGTGTCTCTTTGTCACCTCATTGGACTAGGATGACCTTCAGAGAATAATGCCTGCTGACTTACTTTTGCCACCAGATTATATGCAGCTCCTGTTTTCATCAACTCTTAAGTTGGAACCATGAAGAGAAGGGGATTCTGTCGAGCATAGTTCCGAGCTTAACCAAATGGACCCAGTACAAATCCCTATAGTCTACCCTTTGTCAACCTGACATCTGTCCATTCCTCTTAAAACTTTAGAAGCATATTAGCTTCCAAATAAAGACAGTAGTAAAAGTATGCTTCCACCTAACAAGGTATAACTGTCCTTCATAGGACTGAAGACATGCTAATTAACTCTCAAAAAATATACAAAATTGGGCTGGGTGCGGTGGCTCACGCCTATAATCCCAGCACTTTGGGAGGCCGAGGCAGACAGATCATGAGGTTAGGAGATTACATCCATCCTGGCCAACATGGTGAAACCCTGTCTCTACTAAAAATACAAAAAAATTAGCTGGATGTGGTGGTGCGCGCCTGTAGTCCCAGCTACTTGGGAGGCTGAGGCAGGAGAATGGCTTGAACCCGAGAGGCAGAGGTTGTAGTGAGCTGAGATCACGCCAGCCTGGTGACAGCACGAGACTCCGTTTCAAAAAAAGTTACAAAGTCTACTTTATCCATCCTGGATTATGTTTAATTTTTTCTAGTTGAGTTACACACCCCCTTTGAGATCCTGTAACTTAAATGCTAAGATACAAGGTTAACCACTATTTAAGCATCTTAGATTAGTAGTTCTCAACTTGAAGCAATTTTGCTCCTTGGGGAGCATTTGGCAATGTTTGGAGGCATTTTATTTTATTTTCTTGAATCAGAGTTTCACTGTTGTTGCCCAGGCTGGAGTGCAATGGCATAATCTCAGTTCACCCCAACCTCCACCTCCCGGGTTCAAGTGATTACCTTGCCTCAGCCTTGCTAGTAGTTGGGATTATAGGCATGCACCATCACACTCAGCTAATTTTGTATTTTTAATAGAGACGGGATTTCTCCATGTTGTTCATGCTGGTCTTGAACTCCCGAACTCAGGTGATCCATCCACCTCAGCCTCCCAAAGTGCTGGGATTATAGGTGTGAGCGCTCAACCCCAACGTTTTTGATTCTCACAACTGGGAGCGGGGAGGGGCACAGGTACTGTGATTTGGTAGGTAGATACCAGGAATATTGCTAAACATCCTTCAGTGTGGGGAACAGGCCTCCAAAACAAAGAAATGTCTAGCCCAAAGTCAGTAGTACTGAGGTAGAGAAACCCTGTGTTAGATAACGCAGGAATGGTAGAGATGAGTGTATTAATCTTCTCACACTGCATAACAAAATAGCACAAAATGAGTAGCCCACAGTTCTGGAGGCTAGAAGTCCAAGATTAAGGTGCTGGTAGGGTTGATTTCTGGCTTGTTAATGGCTGTCTTCTTACTATGTCCTCACATGGCCTCTTCTCTGTGTCTGCCTAGAAAGAGAAAGCATAATCTTGGGTATCTCTTCCTGTTATAAGGATACCAGTCATATTGGATTAGTCCCTACCCTTATGACCTAATTTAACCTTAATTACCTCCTAAAGGCCCTATCTCCAAATATAGTTCACATCAAAGGCTGGGGCTTCAACATATGACTTGGGGCTGGGGGGGCACAATTCAGTCTGTAGCAATGGGAATAAAGAATGAATTAGGTAATGTATAGACAAATACATTTATTATTTTAAAGTAAATAACTACTCAGATTATAACATCCCTCGTTTCTGTAACTGTGTGGCCGTAGCCAATATTTATAATTTCTTTCCCCCTGCTATTCATTTCATATTCTCTTTGCGTTTGGCAAGCATCTCAGCTGGTCATGGTTTCCAGTTTGGGGGTGTAGCTCAAACTTTCATTCCTGAAGTCTGTGCCATTAGCAGCCCTGGCTGTTCTGGGTCAAGGTAGTTTTCAGTAGCTTTTATAGCAGGATATGGGAATACTAAGGGAAGCTTCAGGAGATATGTATTCCAGGCATATTCCTGTGTATCATCTCCAAGCCTAGTTGTGGTAGCAACTCTATTTTCTTGAGAGTCAGGATTAGTTAACCAATTCAGTACAGCAGTCTCCTCTTTGATTTACTGGTAAGGGCGCTGTGGCTCACGCCTGTAATCCCAGCACTTTGGGAGGCCAAGGTGGCCAAAGTGGCCAGGTGTTGCAGTATCAGATTCCAGCTTAATGGAACCACTGTTCATTCTCTAATGGAAGTATTTCTCCCTTGAGAACTAAGAACTCTAGTTAATAAGACTAAACTTGTGGGGATAGAGTGCAAAAATTTCAAGTAGTGGATCATCGGGGTAATAGTAAGGAACCACTCTCATTTCTACCTCAGTTTTCAGACCTGTGAATTCTGGCTATGGGAGAAACAATACCATATATTAATCATTGATTTACAGCACACAGAGCATCCTGGAGGACATTGCCCCAGCCCTGCAAGGAGTTGCCAGCCAGCTAGTGCTATTACTTCTAAAGCCCATTTCAGTTTCTGTCACCTGTGGCTTCAGGGTGTTGAGGAAAATGGTAAAATCAGTGAGTTTTACCATTCACTTTTTTTACCATGCGTCTGAGCCTATAGCTGCATTTCGTTTGCTACAGAGTAAGTTCATTGATCAGAAGTAATGCTTCTGTGTAAAATACCATGATGGTGAATAAAACATCTCATAAGTTCACACATGGTGACTTTGGCAGAAGCATTATAGGCAGGGAAGACGAATATATGTTCAGAGCAAATGTCTATTCCAGTAAGAAATAAGTGCTGCCTTTTCTGTGATGAAAGTGGTCTAGGGACCATGTCAGTGGCTCTGTTGATCTCTGCTATTGGCAGATTGAGCACTCAGTAGTAGCTGTAGACAGATCAGCCTTGGTGAGTAAGTCCATGTTGCCAAGCCTATGCATCACCTCCATCCTTGCTACCATAACTATTTTTTCCAGCTTTATGTTTACACTGTGAAATGATTATCACAGTCAAGTTATTTGATGTCACATCTGTCACCTCACATAGTCACAATTTATGTGTGTGTGATGAGAACACTTAGATTTGCTATCTTAGTAATATACCATACAGTATCATTACCTACAGTCGCCATGCTGTATATTAGATTTCTAGAACTTATTCATCCTGTAACTGAAAGTTTGTACCCTTTGACTAATATCATCCCATTCCAGCCCACCACCCTCCCAGTCCCTAGCAACCATCATTGTACTCTCTTTTTCTATGAGTTCAACGTGGATTTTTCGTTTGTTTTTTTTTTATTGTTTCTTGTTTTTTGAGATGGCATTTTGCTCGTCACCCAGGCTGAAGTGCAGTGGCACCATCTCGGCTCACTGCAACCTCTGCCTCCCTGGTTCAGGTGATTCTCCTGCCTCAGCCTCTCGAGTAGCTGGGATTACAGGTGTCCACCACCATGCCCAGCTAATTTTTTGTATTTTCAGTAGAGGCGGGGTTTTCCTATGTTGGACAGGCTGATCTCGAACTCCTGACCTCATGATCTGCTCACCTCAGCCTCCCAAAGTGCTGGAATTACAGGTGTGAGCCACCATCCCCAGCCAATAAGTTCAACTTTTTACATCCCACATGTAATTGAGATCATACAATATTTGTCTTTCACTGTCTGGCTTATTTCACTTAGCACAGTATCTTCCACACTCATCCATGTTGTCACAAATGGCAGGATTTCCTCCTTTTTATGGCTGAATAGTATTACATTGTGTATATAGATGACCTTTTCTTTATCCATTCATCTGTCAGTGGACTTTTATGTTGTTCTCATGTTTTGGCTGTTGTGAATAACGCTGCAATGAATGTGAAATGCAGGTATCTCCTTGAGGTACTACTGGTTTTGTTTTCTTTGGGTGTATACCCAGAGGAAATTATATGGTAGTTCTGTTTTTAATTTGGCTCATATGGTAGTTCTATTTTTAATTTTTCAAGGAACATCCATACCATTTCCCATGATGGCTGTCCAATTTACATTCCCATCATCCTTACCAATGCTTGTTTTCTTTTGTCTTTTTGATAATAGACATCCTGACAGATGTGAGATAATATCTTACTGTGGTTTTGATTTTCCTGATGATTAGTGATTTGAACACCTTTACATGTATCTGTTGGCTATCTGTATATCTTTTTTGAAAAAAAAAAAAACATAAAAATGTATATTCAGGTCCTTCCCTCCCCCACCTTTTTTTTAGACAGGGTCTCTATCACCCTGGCTGAAGTCCACTGGCATGATCATGGCCCACTGCAGCCTCAAACTCCTGGGCTCAAGCTGTCCTCCTGCCTCAGCCTCCCAAGTAGTGGGATTATAGGCATGTGCTGCCATGCGCAGCTTCTTTACCCATTTTTTAATCAGCTTATTTGTTCTTTTGCTTTTGAGTTATATGAGTTTTTTATGTATTTTGGATATTAACCTGTTATCAGATGTATGGTTTGCAAATATTTTCTCCAATCTGTAGGCTGTCTTTTTATTGTTGTCATTTTTTTTTTTTTTTGCTGTACAGAAGCTTTTTAGTTTGTTATAGTCCCACTTGTTTATTTTTGCTTTTGTTGCCTGTGCTTTTGATGCCCTATCAAAAAAAAAAAAATCATTGCTAAGACCAATGTCTCCCCTATGTTTTCTTCCAAGAGTCTTAGTTTTTTATCTAAAATCTTTAATCTTTTATTTTAATATTTAGTCCAGTTCAAGTTAATTTTTGTGAATGATGTAAGATAGGAGTCCAGTTTCATTGTTTTGCATGGATATATCCAGTTTTCCCAACACCATTTATTGGAGACTATCTTTATGCCTAATCATTTAGTTCATGATGCCATCAGGTAAAGACGGGTGCCTAGAGAAAGAGACTAACATCCACAGAGCAGGTCATCTTTTTCTACTGATTATTAAAGTCAGCCTTGGCCAAGGTTATTTTTCAGTGAGCATTCATATGGAACTCAAATGTCTTTACTCTCTGAAGCTATTTGGAGTGGTCTATTCATATACCTTTCTCCAGAGGTCCTTTCCTTGTCCATCCAGCCAAACCATTAGTTGTTGCACAGGAAACAGTGTAGATCCATACCTCTGGCCATCTGTCCTTCTAAAGTAAGATAAACAACCAGGTATAGTGTTCAGAGATCTGCCCACTCAGAATATTTTCCTTTACCACAGTCTTTCAGGGCCATGCATGAGTGGGGCTCTGGTGCTGTGGCTGATCACTTTTGTGTGGTATCAGAATATTGTGCAGAACCATTTGTAAACCTGGCCTTTATTTTTTCTTCCTTGGCCAACTGGTCATAGAGAACTCCCTGTGAGGCCACAGAGGCAAGTTGATAGGAAGGAGGCAATTTAGCAGGAGTAGGGATCATGGGAATTGGAACCACTTGCCTCTGCAACTTACTTGTGCCAGCAGGACCTGTACAACCCTTATAATTCTTGATGATGGAATGCTGCTGTACACACCCAATTTTGTTGCTTGATGAGTCAGATAGCAATACCTAGTTAATAATGGGTAGTTCATATGGCAACTTAATGACCTGTAGTCAAGTGTTCAGTCAAAGCTAAAAGCACTTTCTCAAAAGGAGGATAGTTATCTGCAGAGGATGGTATAACTTTCCTCTAAAAACCCTAAAGTTCTGTGGTATGATTTGCCTACAGGTGCCTGCCAAGGGCTCTATAAAGCATGACTGTCTGCTGCAGACACATCGATGACCATCAGATTTGCTGGGTCACGTGACCCAAGTGGTAGGCTTTCCATTCAAAGAAGAATTAAAATTCTGTTTCTGTGCCTGCCTTCATCTAAGGGACATTTTCACTATAGTATTATATGATAGAATATATACAGGGGCCTATGACATACCAGTGGATATGTACGTTACCTAGAGTTAGGATAGTTGCTGTTCTTTATTTTGGCATTTTAAGTATAGTTTTGGGGTTCAAATTTAAATTGGGGGGGTCCACTTACCAGGTTGAAATGGCTTTATGAAAAGTTAAAAGGAATTTTTTCTTTTTGAGACAATCTCACTCTGTTGCCCAGGCTGGAGTGCAGAGGCATGATCTTGGCTCTCTGCAAGCTCCACCTCCCAGATTAAAGTGATTGTTGTGCCTCAGCAACATAAGTTGCTGGGATTACAGGTGTGTCTCACCATGCTTGGTTAATTTTTGCATTTTTAGTAGAGGCAGGGCTTTGCCATTTGGCCAGGCTGGTCTTGAACTCCTGGCCCCAAATGATCTACCCATCTCAGCCTCCCAGAGTGCTGGGATTACAGGTGTGAGCCACTGCGCCTGGCAGGGGATTTTTAAAATAATTTTTTTGCAGGGAGGATTTGCTAATTAAAGACTTATACATTGGATATCGGGGGAAAATCTGCTTCACTTATGAAAGAGCAATAGACATGCATGGTTTGTTTTTGCCTTCTTAAAAATTTTTTTTTTTTTTTTTTTTTTTTTTTTTTAAATTAGAGACTTTATCTCTAATAAAACTTATGGAGACAAGGTCTCTTTATGTTGCCCAGGCTGGTCTCCAACTCCTGGGCTCAAGTGATCCTCCCACTTTGGCCTCCCAAAGTGTTGGGGCTACAGGAGTGAGCCACTGTACCTAGCCTAAAAGAAATTTATGTTGAACTGATGTATCATTTGAAGGTTACCTAATATGTTGCTGAATTTAATTATTGTTTCACATGTAGCATAAAATAATTTCAGAGACCTGTGATAGTTTTTGATAATTTCTTTTTCGGAACTGTTGCTTAAGCTTTTAAAGAGAACTGTTAGGTTATTGCATGCTGGTACTATTTTATAAATTCTGTTATTATCTTTACATCTATCATAGGACTTATCTGCATTATTTTATTCCAAGAACAAAGGAACTGCCAATCTTTTATGTAGGAACTAATGATTTGTATCACAAAAATACTTCTCATATTTCTGGTATATAACTCTAGGTGAACAGGAAAGATATTAACCTATTTAGAAGAAGGTGTTTTTGACTGGGTGTGGTGGCTCATGCCTGTAGTTCCAGTTACTCGCTTAGGCAGGAAAATTACTTGAACCCAAGAGGTCAATTGAGGCCGTAGTGAGCCAGAACTGCTCCATTGTGCTCCAGCCTGGGTGACAGAGCAAGACCTAGACAGCCCTTTTGACTTTAAAGGTCTTAAAATGATCAGTGGCTTAGTCGAGCTAATTTGAATTCACTGTGGAGGTGTTTCATTGGATTTTTGTAAAAAATATGACATGTATAACTCCTGAAAAGAGGCTTAACTTTCTAGCAAGGGCAAAAATAGGATCCATACAGAGTTGAAAATTTAGCTCAATACAATAAGGCTAAATAGTAAGGCCTGGAAAGAAAAAAAATGGTGAGTCAACTGAGAACTCTGAGGCTTCAAAAATAGGTCATCTGGGAAGAAGATCTAAGAATAAGAACAGTTGCTAGGTGTTGTGAGAAGTAAAGAGATGGGAATTCGAGTATGGTGGTGAATGCAGGATAAATGAAATCATTTAGGAAATACGGTACCAAATTGGCTAAACTTGACAAGTAAAATTAAAAATAAGCAGATGATAATCACAAAATAAAATTTATAGGAAATTATAACAGCCTAACATTAGCAGTCTCTTACTCACTAAAGCAAACCTAGTATGTAGTATGTACTCTCAGTAAATGTGGATTGAATGAATGAGATTTCTAAAGTATCCTCAGTTTGCAAAGTAGATGCTGATCAGGAAGGAGAAATTTGTTGGTGGGTAGGTTACAGTTGCAATTGAGCAGGATTATTGAGTGTGAAGCAACTGAAGAATAACAGGGTAATTGCTCAAATACAGGAGAAGCTGGTTGCAGTACAGAGGTTGCCTTTTAATGAGAGGCTTACAGACCCTTTAACTTCAGTGCCAGAGATGTTATAGATGTCATCTATATTAATAGGTAACAACTTTATTTTTAAAAACGATTTTACATGCTTATGTTTTTCATGTAGGAAGTTTTGTCTTCCTTGATATTCCACTTCTTGGGTAAATCCCCATGTTTGTGATTGGTATATTGAATTTTTTTATTAATCCAAATTAAAAGCTGTGGGTTGGGTTGGAGAGCAAAAAAAAAAAAAAAAAAATTGTTGGAGGCTATCTAAATGATGTTTGCATCTTTGCGCAACAAATAGTTAAAAGGCTAGGTCCTAATAAACAGATTTGTATGTATTTGTGTGCATGCATGTGTACCTTATGATGTATCCTTACTAGGTCGACCATTATTATTGCTAAAGTACAAAATTTAAGGTGACATCCTGTTACATGCCACTGTCCTTAGTTTCTAGCTGCCACCTAAATGCTAAAGAACATATTTTGTTAAAACCTGTATTGAGTATACTCTTTTAGAAAAAATTGAATTTCTCTACATTTTTTCTATCTCCTGTTTTTCCGCTCTTGACCTATTCTGCTCCTCTTTACTTTATACAAATAACTGTTCTTTTATTTTGCACTAGGGAGAAGAAATTCGATGTCAGTATGTTGTGACTTGTGCAGGACTTTACTCAGACCGTATTTCAGAGTTGAGTGGCTGCCCTTCTGATCCTCGAATTGTACCATTCCGAGGAGATTACCTGCTCTTGAAGCCTGAAAAATGTTATCTTGTAAAAGGAAATATTTATCCGGTAGGTAATGACGCTTCCTACTTCTCATTTTTCTCAAGCAGGTGGTGGGCATAAAGGAGATGAAAACAACTTTTATTTGGGTCAGAAGTAAGAGAGATTTTGAAGGAGTGTTTGTAAGCATTTCATCTGTTTCTCTTGCGGTTAAATCCCTAAATCTTTATCCCAGGGTCATGGTTATTAAATTATAATTAATTGCCTGCAATTACATGTCTCCAGAAAGCATGAGTGCACTATGGGAAGTGCTATCAAGAAGGAACTGGGTTCTTCCTCCTCTCTGGTGGAGGGAATGGGAGAACCTTCCCTTATGGAAGTCCCTGATACCCAACCCTTTTCCTCAGTTCACTATCTTTAGGTGCAGAAAAGGGACGTGGCCACTCTGTAGTTTTAGGGAGTAGAAGACAGAGGTGTTTAAATGAAGAGTTTCATTCTTCTGTCTGGAAATACCCTGGAAATGAATGAATCTCTTAAAATATATTAGTTTGAACCAGATAAAATAGTAAGTATTCAGCTATTTCATATTTCTGACCTCGACAAAACATGAATTTCATCTGCTTCAACCACATGTATCCATACTTTGTAGAAGCCTGTGCTATGAATGTGTTTTTTTCTGGCAGCTCTGATTTTACTTGCCAGTCACAAATATCCCTTGTGAGAGACAGAGAATAACCTGAAGTAGGACAGTTCATCTTTTTTTTTTCCTTTACCCAGAAAGATGCATAGATGGAACAATGTATTAGTGTTAATAGCATCAGAGTTTCTCTTTCTTTTTTTTTTTTTTTTTTTTTTTTTTTTGAGACAGAGTCTCACCCTGTCACCCAGGCTAGAGTACAGTGGTGTGATCTTGGCTCACTGCAACCTCTCCCTCCCGGGTTAAAGCGATTCATGTGCCTCAGCCTCCAAGTAGCTAGGATCACAGGTGCACACCAGCACGCTCGGCTAATTTTTGTGTTTTTAGTAGAGATGGAGTTTCACCATGTTGCCCAGGCTGATTTCGAACTCCCGATCTCAAGTGATCTGCCTGCCTCAGCCTCCTTAAGTGTTGAGATTACAGGCATGAGCCACTGCTCCCAGCCAGCATCAGGGTTTCTTGTGTGCATTTCTAAGCAGAAACATGTTAATGGAAAAGTATATCTGAGTACAGTTCACAATACAAATTAAATGCATGGGAGGAAAGTATTTTATGTTACCAATTGAATGTTTGCATCTCTAATAACATGGAATGTGAAATGAGGCTGTTACTTACTATGTTAAATTTATAGGTCCCAGATAGCAGATTTCCTTTCCTAGGAGTTCACTTCACACCAAGGATGGATGGCAGTATTTGGCTAGGTCCTAATGCAGTTCTTGCCTTTAAACGAGAGGGTTACAGACCCTTTGACTTCAGTGCCACAGATGTTATGGATATAATTGTCAATAGGTAACAACATTATTTATTTTTTAAAATGATTTTATGTGCTTATATTTTTAATGTGGGAAGTTTTGTCTTTCTTGATATTCTATTTATTGGGTAAATACCCATATTTGTGATTGTTATATCAAATTTGTTTTAATCCAAATTAAAAGCTTTGGGCGGGGGAGCCAAAAAAAAAGAAATTTTAGAATAAGCATCACATTTTAACTCCCTCCAGAAAATCCTGATGAGCCAGGATAATGTCTTGGTTAAAAAGAAGATAAGGCCTAGAGTCATTCATATATCTGGCAATCCAAATCTTGTATTCCTAACCTTCCAGTTTTATTTGTTTGGGGGTGGGGGTAGATTCTCTCAAAATCAGTAGATGGCTATTTAAATAAAATCATTTCAAGGCAGTCTCCATCATTTTGTAAGCCACTGGAGAAATTATTGATGACCAAAGTCATTTCCTTGTGTAGGAAACTGACAAAACGATTGTGTTAACCTAAGATGCAGATTCTTTACTATTGTAAGAAATAACTGAATTAGCTATTTCATCTGATCCTTCTAGCAATGTTTCTCTCTAAAGGGTTCCACATCAAAATCACTAGAAAGCTTTTAAAGCTGTACTTGAGTTTCACCCTCCATGGATTCTGAAACTGAAAGTTGAGGATGGAGCTTCTTGACATGTGTACTTGTAAAACTATATACATATATGCATCTAGGCTTTACGGAGTCTTACTTGACAATCACAGCTAAAGTTTTTTTTGTTTTTTCGTGTTGTATTTTTCTTTTCTTTTTTTTTTTTTTGAGATGGCGTCTTGCACTGTCGCCCAGGCTGGAGTGCAGTGGCGTGATCTTTGCTCACTGCAGCCTCTGTCTCCTGGGTTCACACGATTCTCCTGCCTCAGCCTCCCATGTAGCTGGGATTACAGGCACACACCACAACACCTGGCTAATTTTTTGTATTTTTAGTAGAGATGGTGTTTCACTATGTTGGGCAGGCTTGTCTTGAACTCATGACCTCATGCGTGATCTGCCTGCCTCAGACTCCCAAAATGCTGGGATTACAGGTGTGAGCCACTGCGCCTGGTCCGTTTTGGTTTTTTGAGACAGGGTCTCACTTTGTGACTCACTGCCATCTCAACCTCCTGGGATCAATCAGTTCTCCCACTTCAGCCTCCAAGTAGCTGGAACTACAGGCAGATGCTACCATGCCCAGATAATTTTTGTGTTTCCTGTAGAGAGAGAGTTTCGCCATCTTACCCAGGCTGGTCTCGAGCTCCTGGGCTCAAGTAATCCACCTGCCTTGGCCTCCAAAAGTGCTGGGATTACAGGCATGAGCCACCGTACCCTGCCTCAACAACTTTACCTCAACAGAGGTAAAGTATTTTACCTCTGGCTGACTAAAGAAAACTAGGGTAGATGTCCTGTTGCTTTCATACCCTGCCTTTTAGGTGTGTTGAAGGCATGTGATATTTGCATTAGAAAGTTTTGATATGGGTAGGCTTTATAGAGTCCCAGTTTGAAACCAGCACTCCTTGGGAATTTGAGATTAGAAGATGTTTACCTCTTTTTTTGGGGGCGGGGCTCAAAGTCTCACTGTTGCCCAGGCTGGAGTGCACTGGCAGAATTATTGCTTACTGCAGCCTCAAACTCCTGGGCTTAAACAATCCTCCTACTTCAACCTCCCTAGTAGCTGAAACTACAGCCACACAGCACCACACTCAGCTCTGTTTACCTCCTGAGCTGATGAGGATTCCTTCTGATATTGGCCAAAGGTTGATTTTCACTGGTTGGTTGATTGATTTAGACAGGGCTCTGCCACCCAGGATGGAGTGTAGTGGCATGATCTCAGCTCACTGCAACCTCTGCCTCCCGGGTTCAAGCAATTTTCCTGCCTCGGCCTCTTTGATTAGCTGGGATTACAGGCATGTACCATCACACCTCACTAAATTTTGTATTTCTGGCAGAGACAGGGTTTTGCCATGTTGGCCAGTCTCGTTTTGAACTTGTGACCTCAAGTGATCTGCCTGACTCAGTCTCTCAAAGTGTTGGGATTACAGGCATGAGCCACCACTCCTGGCCTTGATTTTCTTTTAATCTACGGTGCTTCTTAGCCTAGATTTTTGTGATGACATAAAAAAAGAATCTAAGGCCGGGCGTAGTGGCTCACGCCTGTAATCCTAGCACTTTGGAGGCCAAGGCAGGCGGATCACCTGAGGTCGGGAGTTCAAGACCAGCCTGACCAACATGGTGAAACCCCGTCTTAAAAAAAAAAAAAAAAAGAATCTAATAATTGTAATGGCATTTTATATAATAAAGAATTCTATTCTCTCATAAAGATCTTTTTTTCTCTGTTTTCAGCGGCTTGATTAAATTGGCATACCAGAATTTTTCCTATGGAGTTACCGAAATGTATAAAGCCTGTTTTCTTGGTGCAACAGTGAAGTATCTTCAAAAGTTCATCCCTGAAATTACTATCAGTGATATACTTAGGTAAGGAAAAGTGATAAGGAGTGTCCTGACCTATGTGAACTTGAGAGGTGGGTTTGTCTAACTTGGTGATAGGAAGCATCACCAAGTTTCAGAGTCAGTTTGCATATACACTGAATTTTTGTTTGCTCACTTTCCCAACGTGTTGTTGAATTCCCTTTGCATTACATGTATTGGATATTGCTACATTATGGCCCTTAGTGCTGGTCCATTTATAAGTATCTGGTCTTCCTTACAGCTCTAATCTGAAATCTTCATGACAGCTTTATCGTGGTGCCACCTTAGCCTTTTTGTCTGTCACTCATGATAAAAACATCTTGCCTGAAATTTAAAAAATCTCTCTGGCCAGTTACTCTTATAATTCCAAAGCCTTTTGACTTTAATTTTGTATAAGATTATTGATAACTATGTTAACTAATTCGGTAATAAACACATTAAAACATTGTATTTTGCTGGGCGCAGTGGCTCACGCTTGTAATCCCAGCACTTTGGGAGGCCGAGGCAGGTGGATCACGAGGTCAAGAGATCGAGACCATCCTGGTCAACATGGTGAAACCCCGTCTCTACTAAAACTACAAAAAATTAGCTGGGCTTGGTGGCGCATGCCTGTAATCCCAGCTACTCAGGAGGCTGAGGCAGGAGAATTGCCTGAACCCAGGAGGCGGAGGTTGCGGTGAACCGAGATCGCGCCATTGCACTCCAGCCTGGGTAACAAGAGCGAAACTCTGTCTCCAAAAAAAAAAAAAAAAACAAACAAACAAAAAAAATTGTATTTTGATTGAGTCTTAAAACTTAAAAAAAAAAAACAACTTTTAGGTTTGACGGTACATGTGAAAATTTCTACATAGGTAAACGTGTCATGGGGTTTATTGTACATATTATTTTATCACCCAGATATTAAGCCCAGTACCTAGTAGTTATCTTTTCTGCTTCTCTCCCTTATGCCTCCCTCCCACCTTATGTAGACCACAGTGTCTGTTGTTTCTTTCTTTGTGTTCATGAGTTCTCATTATTTAGCTCCCACTTATAAATGAGAACATTTGGTATTTGGTTTTCTGTTCCTGTGATAGTTTGCTAAGGATGATAGCCTTCAGCTCCATTAAAACCTTTTAGAAATGCTTGTAGACCTGGCATCTCACCTTGCTTCTTTTGTTCTTTCTTGGGCCTTACTGCACTCAGGGACTCTACTTTCAGGAAAGAAGTGGAAAGCAGTGTGGTAACAGTCAGAGTCCTTGCTACAGAGGTATGGGGCAAAGTAAAGATAACATATCTTTTATTCTTAAAGATAAAAGACTTGATCTGTAGATTATTCTTAATACCACCACCCAAGCCTATTTTTTTGCCCCTTTGGCTAATGTTTTTAGTGTTCAGCTTTTTTCCTAAGCAAGCCATTCATTAGGCCTAATCAGCAGTGTACTTTGAGGTACTCACCCTGCATTTACAATCCATCCATCCATGTATCTTCTGAGCACTAGATGTATGCCTTCTCTGTAACAGCTGCTGAACTAGCCTGGTAAAAAATTTCAGCAGGCTTGACTGTGTATCTGTGAAGAGAGCAATAATCATGTCAGCTGTCTCCCTTAGGGGAGTGTCCTGGTTTAAATTTGACTCTATCATTCTGAGACCGGCGTGTTTGAATCCTTAGAAGAAGTATTAAAACTCAGCTAATGTTTTTACTCTTATCTCTTTCACTCCTCTACTGATCGAAATGGAAGGGGTAAAATATCTAGCCATTTTTTTCTTTCACTCACTTATAAATAAGGGCTTTTATGTTTTCAGTGATCTGCTTTAGCAAACTTGTGATGTTTCATATCTGAAAATAGATAGGTCAAATCTGGAATCTATTGCTGCTATTAATATTCCTTGGAAAACACACCAGGTGAGCATAGTGAATTCTGTGTAAAAATAGTTGCAGTGAATTCACTGCCTGTATTCAGTTACCACCCATAGAAGCCTGAGGAAAACTTTTAGATCACAGGATTTCATATAGTAGAACTGGACTTTGTTTGGGCTTGTGGGTATTAGTGAATACTCCTGTTTCTGGGTATAAGGGTGTGAATTTCAGATACCAGTTTCATTGGCATGTAGTAGAGAAGGGCACATAGCATTGTAGACAGGTGCATTTGGAGACAAATTCATCCCAATCACAGATGACTTCCTCTTTAAAGAGAGAAAAGCTGACTACATTCAGCAATTTCATTTGCTTTGTCTCTTGATTCCTGTAATTATTAAGTGCAGGAAATTATTAGTAACAAAAGGAAAGTTGTAGAAGATATGTTTTTGGGGTTTTGGGGGGGGAAGATATGTTTAATACCATTTGTATAAGTTTTAAAACAAGTATAGCAAAACCATATGTTGCGTATGGATTACACATGTAGTATGAAAATAAAAACAAGGGCCGGGTACAGCGGTTCACGCCTGTAATCCTAGCACTTTGGGAGGCCAAGGTGGGTGGATCACCTGAGGTCAGGAGTTCAAGACTAGCCTGGCCATCATGGTGAAACCCCATCTTACCAAAAACAAACAAAAAAACAGGGGAGTGATAAACACCCAATTCAGGAGAATGCTTACCTCTGGGGAGGGAAGAGAATGGGATCTTGAGAGTTCCACAGAGGCTTCTATCATATCGGTAATGCTTTATTTCTTAAGCTGTTTCATAAGAAAATGAGTATTCATTGTGTTATTCTCTGTTCCTTATTATAGCCTGAAATATTAAATAATAAAAATAAGATCAATAGACTCTTCCACAGCTTGAAGCCTAAGTCCTGCTTTGTCGCATTTGTCTTGCAACCATATGTTAAAACCATAAATGCCCTTAGTATTACAGTGAAAGCACATCAGGCAGTTGTAGGTAGTAAAAGATAGTTGAAGCAATGCTTTCAGTGTGGTGTCCTTAAATTTCAGGATGGAGTCCTTAAATTCTAGTAACCACTAAAAGGCACCCAGGATGACTTCTCATTGCTTAGCTGGAGCATTTCGGGCAGTAATTTACTGATGAACATTAGATTGGAATATAAATTGTAATCTGTTAAATATATGCATTAAAGTTCTCATTGCTACATCATAGTCTCTAAGATTCTTAATGTTAGCTCTAGGCCAGGCATAATGGCTCATGCCTGTAATCCTAGTGCTTTGGGAGGCTGAGGTGGGAAGATCGCTTGAGCCCAGAAGTTTGAGACCAGCCTGGGCAATTTTTTTTTTTAAATTAGCTGGGCAAGTGGTACATTCCCATAGTCATACCTACTAGGGAGAATCTCTTAAGCTCAGAAGGCTGAAGCTATGGTGAGCCATTATTTTACCACTGTCCTCCAGCCTGGGAGACAGAACAAGACCCTGTCTAAAAAAAAATATGTGTGTGTGTGTGTGTGTGTGTGTGTGTGTATGTATGTGTGTGTGTATATATATATATGTGTGTGTGTATGTAAATGTGTATATATATATGTATATATAGCTCTAAACTTTAAAAATTTGTTCTATGATTAGTTTTGACATGTTAATCTAACAGCATTTGTATCTGTTAACACTGTAAAGATGTAAAAGATGACATATATGTCACAGCTCTCCCTTTTTAAATTTGGAAAATGTCTTCTGTTGGGAATTCTAGAGTAAACTTTCAGGCAGGATGTTTTCATAACAAGTGATAGCTAGACTGTGTGAAACAGAAAGGCAAAAGTCAAACATTTCTATAATAAAGTTGTAATGGCTTAAGGGCTTAAGGTGATCTAGATTAGGGCTTCTCAGTATTGATGCTAATGACATATTGAGCCAAAAAATAATTATTTATTGTGGAGGACTGTCCAGTTCCTTGTAGAATGTTTAACAGCATCCCTAGCCTCTGCTCATTCTCCTAATTGTGACAATCAAAAATATCTTGACATTGCCAGATGTCCTCTAGGGGGCAAAATATCCCTTGGTTGAGAACCACTCGAGTAGAGAATTTGGTAACCTTCACACTATGAAATGCTAACAAGAGTCTGGAGAAAATGCAATAAACATCCTTGAAATACATGTAGCTGAGAGTAAGGGAAAGTAAGGGGCATCCCAGAGCAAAAACAAAAAGAAAATTAAAATTCATGCTAAAAGGAGTTGGTGCTGATGCTGACTTGGAAAGGTGGGGATGGTTTGCTAATTTTAATAAATGAGGGGCTTCAGTTATATTTTTAATTGATGTGCGACTTACATGTAATAAAATATGTAGATCTTAAGTAAATTTTGATAATTGTACAAGCCATATCCACCACACAAAACAAGATATAGGACATTAGGGACTTGAATACTAATTGTCACTGAAGTGCTGAAAAAGAAACCTTGGGTGTATACAAGGTAGAAAGTTAGAACTGAAACTCTAATGTAAGGCCCGCTAGGGACTCTTGAAAGGCTATACCCTCAGAAGAAAGGAAGTCTAGAAAAAAAAATATTCCCCTTGGCACTGGGAAGTATTAAGCAATTTTGTCTATCTTGGTATTAGGGGTGGGGAGTGGGAGAAATCTTTCCAAAAATCTAGAATCCCTCACAAGTGCTTAGATTTTTGAATGTATAACACCAGCTTGGTTTAGGAGCTGTAAGCTACAAATTAACTGAAAAAGTGGAGGCAGACATTTCTGGATCCTTCTTCAAACTTTCTCTCTCTCTTTTTCTCTGCCTCCTTCAAGTAAATTAGAGAGACTAAAAATCAGGTAATTTGACCACAGAGTAACTATTGATACTAAGCAATTATTGCTTTATAATTATTTTTAAGATTTTTTTTGGTGGGGGGAGTCTCACTCTGAATCCCAGGCTACAGTGCAGTGGTGCAATCTGAGTTCTCTGCAACCTCTGCTTCCCAGGTTCAGGTGATTCTCCTGCCTCAGCTTCCTGAGTAGCTGAGATTAAAGGCATGTGCCACCATGGCTAATTTTTTTTTTGTTTTTTGTTTTTTTGTTTTTTTTTATTTTTAGTAGAGATGGGATTTTGCCACATTGGCCATGCTGGTTTTGGACTCCTGACTTCAAGCGATCTACCTG